GATAAATTCAGAAGGAAATTTTTTAATCAGTTAAATTTTAGAATAATCTTAACATGTATTTACAATGTTGGATTCACGAAACATTTTGTAACAAAATGTAGCAAGAATAGCTATGAATAATTTTAAAACTTGCTCTTGTTTCTTACCCGTGACTCCCCATATTACCAACAGAATAATAACGGTTTTCATGGGATGTGAAGATGCTGTAAATATTATAAGTTCTTTCAACATCGTGGTCCAGTGATGAAGAAAATATTGGATTTTTAAAGTTTTTTCTATCAATAAATTTTCTTCAACTATTTTGTGCAACCACGCACTATCAACGTTAGATCTTACAGAGTTGCTTGTGTATACTCGATGTGTGTGTAGAAGATGATCTATTTTCGAGATCACCACCTTTATTTATACATCTCTCTTTCTCTCTTGGTCTACTTTGTGCCCACGTTCTTGTTAATGTTAATGCTTGTTGTAACAGACTTCATACCAGGATAAACCTTTATAAATTAGGATTCATTTTATTGTTTGAAGATAAGTTTTCTTTGTGATTTTTCTCGTCTACAGCATCTAAACAAAAGATTTAGTAGTCAGCGGGAATCTTTCCAGTTAGGATAAACCTGGTGTCCAAACTGATGTAATAAAGTTTATCTGGATTTTGAAACCCGTTTAATAGAGGAACTTCGTCTTAAGTAGAAAACTTTACCAGGAGAAGGTTGGAAATAAATGTACAAAACATATAACACTCCACTAAAATTTATTAGATACATATTTTTGTAGTCGTTAAAATATTTGAAATTTCATAATTTAAACTTTTTGTACACCCACCATATATTTATAGGTACCACAAAGTTTCTAAAGTGATTTAATTATAGGAAAATATATATATAATAATAAATTCGTAACTGTGAGATCATCTACTATACAGCAATGTTTTATGTGCCTAATCATGTGAGGATTATTTCGTTATTCTTGCATTGTTTACACCCTGTTTTTTACAGTACCCTTAAATAATTTACATCCTGTTTTTAAAACAAAAAATAAGCAATTGAAATGATAAAAAGTAATCATATATATCATTTAAATAATTAAATAATCATTTAATAATTCTAATGTTATTGGTTCTATTTCTATCTGGATGTGAAACAGTCTTCCAGTTCGCTAGATAGTAAAGAACCAGTCAATAAAATGATATTAGCAGTTTGTGTTGTAGGTTCTTTTGGTCTTTGTTTTATTTATTTTTTTCATAAAGTGATTTTCCTTTCATGAAATAGAATCAGCGTGCTATCAGACAAGGATTACACAAGAACTGTATGCAACTGATTTTTATAAGTTTAAACTGATAGACGTGTTATATGTACGCAGCTGGTCAACATCATCCATCGACAAATTTCAGTTCAGGCACACTAGCCAGGCTCAGCCCAGGACAGCCACTGTTAAATTAATATAGAAAAAAAAAGAAGAAGAAAGAGAAACTTTAGATTGAGTAAAAATAGTTCACACTTTCAGTGAATTTTTAACCAAATTTAATCACGTTTAAACTCATTATTTATTTTATGTAACTTATTATCGCTATAATTAACAATGAATTAAATATTTAATGAATGTATTTTCCTACTTCAAAATCTAACTTTCCTTGAGGAAATACATTTCTAAACTGTCATTATTATTTGCCAGCAGTCGAATATGAAATTTGTTTTTCTCAAATTATTGATTACACAGACAAGCCTGCGAATTTAAGCTTCATAAAAGTTGTTTCAGTTTTAATAACGGATTTTCCATAATTCAACTACGCAGATTTCGAAAACAGTATTTATGTTTTTCTATCGCGTAAGATTTTTTTACAAATCGGGAAGAAGATATAAACTTAGATCAAATTTTTATCTCTTATTTCGTTTACCGCAATGAACATTTTTTATTATTATGTTTGTAAACAAAAATACAAACAAACTGAAGAAAAGGGAAGAACATTCGTGACAAACGAATATGCATCCTCATCCATCCTGATTTTTTTTATGTATCGCGTTATGACGTTTTGTGAAAAATCTGTACGTGATGGAGAAAAATGGATACCATTTTCGGATTCAGCGTACAGGAATTACAGTAGAACATGTAAAAATTTCAAAAACCATCGCAGGCCTGTGTAATTGTTTTGTTAGACATTTGATACTTTTATTGTTTTTTTCATTTATACTTCGAAAATAGCATTACGGTTACCACATAAGTTGTACCCTACATCCAAGTCAAATTTGTCAAGTTGGGTTGTTTGAAGATAAGCTACATTTTTACTTTACAAACATTTTTTCTGAAGAGATCTCATGTATAATTTTTGGTTGAGAAACTATTCCTGGTTGATTTATAGGAAGAAACGTTTAGTTGTGGTGATATTGCTGTCATCACTAGGATTATAATTATTTGTTATTTCTCCGAAGGGCGACAGAAATAATTTTAATGTACAAACCACAAAACAATAAAACCACAGTATATACTTGTTTGGTTGTTTGTTTAAAATTTTCGCGCAAAACTATACGAAGGGTTACTTGTGCATATAGTCCCTAAATTTGACGTGATAGTCTAAACTTTAGAGGGAGAGCAGCTAGTCAATAACATCACCCACCACCAACTAACCCTGGGCTGAACTACTCTTGCCTGACCGAATAGTGGAATGTGCTGTCGCTCTTATAACGCACCTACGGTCACAAAGTGCGAAGCATGTTTTTGCGGCAACAGCACGCTAGTAAACCTTCGGATTCGTAGATCGGACACGCTAGCCACAAGGCCACACCCAGACACCAATGCATGTGCATTTCGATTTACATATGATCACTTGCAAAAAGTTTTGAATGATTCTGAAGATGAAAAAAGGACTATAAGTTACTCTTTGTATCAGTAAAACTGAAAGTATTGCCCCTGCCGCAGCTATTGACGATACTCGTTTTAAGCACTTTCGTCATTAATGACTCATTTTAGTCCCACGGTGGCTCAGCGGTAAGCTTGAGGAGTTATAGCTCTAAAATTCAGAGTTCGATCTCTGTGGTGGGTACAGCACAGATAGCTAGCACATCGTGCAGTTTTGTGCTGAAACAAAGGAAATATCAATTATTTCTCTATTAATATTGATGAATGTAATTTTAAAATATTTATTCAAGCACAAAATAAAACAAAAAGTAAGAAATTGTTAAACAACTCATCGATCTCGTATAGACGTTCAACGTAATAGAATACGAACTCAAAGTTGACACTCGGCGTAGGCTTGAAACTTGACCTGTGCTTTAGCTCAAAATTAATTTAGTAATGGCTTTTAAGTATGCTGTTTAAGGTTTAAGAGCAGCGCACACATTTTGATGGGAACGATTTTTTGAAGAATTTTAACTATAAACACACACTCATTTACGCCTTCCTATTGGAATCAAATAATGATCATAAACAGGTAAATGTGGAGTTGTAGGCAGGGGCGTAGTCGGGGGAAGAGGTCGAACTACCACCCTAATATATTTAAATATCTAAAAGGTTCACTATTTTCTGATTTAAAAATAAAATGCATCATTTTCATATCAGTCACGTAAAATCTCTGAGTAGAAAAAATGTCCACAGTTTTTTGGAAAAGTCCCCTTGTGGGATAACAGTAAGTCTACAGACTTACAACGCTAAAATCCGTGGTTTGATTCCCCGCGGTGTACACAGCATATGGCTCAATGTGGCTTTGCTCTAAAACAAACAAACATTGTTTATAGAAAAAGACCCTCTACACACAAACACTGGCTATACCCATGGATATAGGTACTTAATCTCTGAGTCTGCGCAGAATGCTGAAAGTGTTCAAATGTTTTATTCTAAACATTTCTCCAGTTACTTAGAAAAAAAAGCAACTAAGTTTAAAGTATACCAGATTTAGCACGTTTCAACTGTGTCTGTATACCTGTAGTAGTTTTTACATTGGATATGTACATAAACTGTGGTATGTTCAATTTTATACAATCTCTTGTGTTGTTTACTGGTCAATAGTTGCTTTATAAATTATTGTTTTATTCAGCGTCTCAACTGATATACTACAGTTTCGGGACCCTCGTTTTCAGTTTAACACGAACCTGTTTTTCTTTCACCAGTAACTAAAATTACTACATTACACATTTAACAAAAATTCCATAAAACAATTATTTCGACGTAATGAGATAAAGAAAAAACGAAGAAGAAAATAAACACTTGTTGCCTACAGGAATAGACGTCTGTTGCATGATCTTACTAAAAACTTTTAATACTCCATTAAAAATGTCACATCCTGCAGTAATAATTACTTTTTAACCATTTTAAAAGTTAAACTTCTTCAAACGCTTTCGCTTGGCTAAATGGAAAGTTTTTTTATAGGTACATATGAATTTGACACTCGATTCGATACCGCAATAATTTAATATGTATTATGTGGTGAAGAAATTCAATATTTTTTTTTTAAATATCCAAACGGCAGAAGTCAATACTTTAATGTATTTTAGGTGACAACTGTAGAAACGTTGAGTTGATTAAAAATAAACTAGACGTTTTTAATAACAGAGAGCATGTTCATTTTGTATGCTACAGAGTTGTTGCCTTCCAATGAAATCATAGTTTATAAGATTAGGAACAAAATTACTCCACTCGTTCAAGAAAAAAAAAATGTCAGGAGGGATTTTCCGGTTAATATAGAGCGATCTGACCAAAATACTCTCTTCTGTGGGGGCTTATGTTTTGGTAAAAGTTACTAAGATAGCAACGTTTCATGAAGAAAAATCCTAGTGTCAGAAAAATGGCATTTATCCTCATTAGTTTAGTATTAAAAACATTTTCCAATAGGAATCACCGCCAACATTTACGTAGGCACTAGCGATGCCAGACAAGCATATAAATAGCTCTTCTACTGAGTATTCACAACAGATCTGTGGTTCTTGACATTGGCAAGAGTTTGTATAAAGGTCCCTTAAAGTACCATTACTTTAAATGTAAAAATACATAATTTTGTTTCTCATTCTTTCGACTAAAATGACAGTCTACTTGTTTCTATTGGTGCTATCGCCAGCTATGGGTAAGTTTTAATTTAAACTTGTTTCGTTTGTTTTTAACACGTTAATAAATACAACAAAAATATTCGGCTTATGTGTTTATCTTAGTAATTTAGCGTAACTTATTATTTAGTAAGTACAAATAGTATATATTCCTGAGTTAATCATTTATTAAAATATGCACAAATGTGTTGTTCTCTTCCAAGCAAGAAACATTATATATTTATGACCAATAGGAATGTATTTGATCGTATGTTGTTTGAAACTTGCATTAGTACTCTCATATTTTTTATAAGCTGAAAAGTTTCATAAACACTTTCTGTAGATTATACGAACTTGTTAGTCATAGTAATAACTTAATCCATGTGTCATAACCATTATACAGCTTACGTCGTTTTCGATGAAAACAAACGACAAGACCTAATGCAATACCAGAGAGCTGGTCAGAGGTATTGGAGCCAGTCAAATGACAAGTCACAGGACTTAATACCTTATTCACAAGTTGGCCAGAGTCACTGGAGCTGGTTGGATGACAAACGACAGGACATAATCCCTTACCCACGAGTTGGCCGAAGTTATTGGAACTGGACAGAGGACAAACAACCGAACGTATACCCTTATCCAAGAGTTGGCCTGAGCCAATGGAACTGGTTAGAGGACAAAGGACAGGACTTAATCCCTTATCCACGAATTGACCGGAGTTACTGGCGCTGGATAAATAATAAACGGCAGGATCTAATCCCTTATCCTCGAGTTGGTCGGAATTACTGGAGCTGCATAAAGGATAAACGACAGGACTTAATTCCTTATCCGCGATTTGGCCGGAGTTACTGGAGTTTGCTAGAGGACAAAGGACAAGACCGTATCCTTTATCCGCGATTTGACAGGATACAGGACAAACGACAAGATATAATTCCTTACCCGCGAGTTGGCCGGAGTTACTGGAGCTGGATAAAGGATAAACAACAGGACACAATCCCTTATCCTCGAGTTGGCCGGAGTTACCGGAATTGGTTAGAGAGCAAAGGACAAGATGTTGTCCCTTATCCGCGAGTTGACAGGAAACAGGACAAACGACAAGATTTAATCCCTTATCCGCGAGTTGGCCGGATTTACTGGAACTGGTTAGAGGACAAAGGACAAGACTTTATCCGTTACCCACGAGTTGACAGGATACAGGACAAACGACAAGATATAATTCCTTACCCGCGAGTTGGCCGAAGTTACTGGAGCTGGATAAAGGTTAAACGCCAGGATCTAATCCCTTATCCACGAGCTGGTCGGAGTTACTAGAGCTTGAAAAAGAACAAACATCAAGATGGAGTTCCTTTTCTTAAGTTGGTCGAACTGTGAAGAAACGTCAAGAAAAATTCACATTTAACTGTCTTTACATACTATTATAAATGACATTTATAAAGACTATGGTATTGATGCAAATTCATATTTTGCGTCTTCTATCAGGCAACTTTCACTATATTAAATCACAAGAATAGACTGTAAAGAAAGATCTAATTACAATAAAGAATTCGAAGCTTAGGACCAGAAGTTTAATTTTTACAAAGTTGGTTCACGAAGAAAAATAAGGCAGGTATTTTCTGTCCTTCTATTTGACAGAGTGGATACCATCACCTGTGAATGTTTTAGTTAATCCACCTGCTCTTTAAACAGGGATAAGACATATAATCTGTATCAACACACAGCTCTTTTCGACTAACACTTGCTCCGAGCACTAACTTATTATACATTTAACAAATAGGAATCATGAAACAAATTGAAATTTAAATATTTAAAAAATAATCAAACGTGAAGGTTTATTTATTTCCATGAAAAGTATTATATTAGTCAATAAATATTTCGCAAGGGAATGTATGACGCTTGTTCTTCTTCTGTATTTCTTTTATTGTACGTCTTAATTGAATACTACAAACATATAAAGTAAGAGTAAGTGATATAATCCCATTGGTCAATATTATCTCAGAAGAATGATGTCATTGAAACATCTTTTGATCTTAAATAAATCACAACTACAAAACAAAAACAAAATGTGCTGCCGTCTAATACACATTTCTCTTATTTTTATTTTCACTTACACGCATTATTTTGTTTGCTAACAACGCCAATGCTACCTCTTCAGCCTTTTCTTCAATTAAAGACGAAGGAAGAACTCTTTGAATATCGTCAATTCCTCCATTGACAAGGAAGGTTCCTAGTACACCTTCAGCATAATCCTCCACAACTTCTATGACATGTCCAAGAAGCAGCTTAGACGGCAAAACTTCGAATCTAGAGGTTCTAGATTTTAAATATCTGGATTTTCTTAGGTTACAAGAGTCTCTGTGGTCTTTAAAACAAGCCGAATAAGTAGAAACCCCATTCTTGAGGACTGAACAATTTGTAAAATATCTGAAAAATTGTGAAGAAAAATCACTGCTTTCGTCAATTTGTTAATGTATTTTGGGTTTTAAAGATATAATAATTCTGTTTTATTTGAACCTTATGTAATTATCACAGACTTATGATATAATTCTAGATAAATATATATAGATCACAACTAATAATTATCCAAGTCTTGGAAGAGCCTGGTGATTAGAGCGCTCGACTTGCGACTTACAAGTTGCAGGTTCGAATCCCGTCACCGAACATGTTCGCTGCCAACACGCCTTGTCAGCACGTCAGTAAGTAGGTAAAAACTTTGCCATGATCGTAACGAACTGACAGAAGGCTACATCCTGATGCGGATGGGCAAAGCCTTATTCATTAATTATTATTTTTTAAATGATTATTCCAGTAATTAATATAGTAATTAAAAAAAGCGATCAAACTAAGAGTATTTAGTTAAAACAAAAACTGAATTCTGATTAGATTACATTGACTTATTAATTATTAGTAATCCCAAGATCAAGTAACGCATTATTGGGATTCCTATCTCATTCTATTTTAACCCTTTATAAAATTCTGCGTGCAGCAGAGAGAAAAAAAAAACAGTTTAGTGAAAAAAGTTATACTGCAGTTCATTCCTACATTGTTTGATGTCATTCAGATCAAATTGTCTTTAGAATATTATTATTCAAATAGGGTTATTTAATATTATTCATTGGCTGAAATTAAACTACTTAATACTTTCTAGGCTAAAATCTTGCATGGTTTATCTATGAAAAAATAGCACTACTACCGAATTTTAAAGGGTTTACAAAAATTTGGTTTTATGCGTGCAGACATCTCAAATGCCATTTCCGTTCTTGACCATTTAGGAATTTGTAACCTCCAAAAAAGAAACAAGCTGATAATGTTGTTTTAACTGCTTACAAAGCTCGAAAATTCTTGTCCTTTTTTGACATGTATAGATCGAGAAAGTACTATTTTTATCAAGCATTATGATAACAGACTAAACTACTACTTAATGGAAAGATACAAACTTTATGAGCATGTAATTACTTAATAGGAACGATATATAATTTTGGAAAAAGTATTTTACAGCAGGATGTTAATGTTTTATCAGTGATTGTTTTTTTTGGAGGGAAGTTTGAGAGACGGGAGTTTAGATAATATATTCTATAACATTCTATATGTGAGTACACCTGAGTCAAGTGGGCACCATCGCAACGCAGTTTCACCAGTTCCAAACAACTTTTAAGTTAAAAAAAGTTTTCTCTCATCCTTTAGGGGGGTTTGTTTGTAGTTAAGCACAAAGCTACACAAAGGGCTATCTGTGGTCTGCCCTACACGGTTTCTAGCGTTGTAAGTCCGCAGACATGCCGCTGTGCCACTGGGGGGGCTTTTAGGTAGGAAGCGTGTGTAATTTTATAATTTTTATGGGAGGGAAATTCATTATTTCCTGTTTATGTTAACAAAATAATTTCCCAAGCAAGCAGTCAATAAACGTGGAAGTTGTTAGATTTCCAACATCAATTTTGATAAAATGCAAAAAACAAAAACAAAAAACCCAGTAAATAACGATTTGTACCGTCATAATTTATAGATTGTAACGTGTAATAAAAGTGATCAGCCTCCCAGTGGCACAGCGGTATGTCTGTGGATTTACAACGCCAAAAAGCGGGTTTCGATACCCGTCGTGGGCAGAGCACAGATAGCCCACTGTGTAGCTTTGTGTTTAACTACAACCAAACAAAAGTGATCATTATTTGTAGTGAGAGATTGTTCTATTCTTGACAAGTCAATGGGATCGACGAGTTAATATTTTAGTTTCAAGATGAGCAGCTTTTCGATTGTTTAAGATATTGTTTCAAGGAAAGCTTGTTAAGGCTCTTTCAAAACATACAACAACGATCAATACGTTAAAAAAACGGTAACTTTTGTTGTCTTCGTCTTTGTTTTGTTAATTAAAAGTTCTTGGAAGTTAATAAAGGTGGATAATTATTACCGTCTGTGAGAAACGAGGTTCGAGTCGTCCAAATAAAGTTTGAGTCTAAATTATATACTTGAATACATATTTAAATATATATACTTACATTTCCTCATTAACTTCGTTCGGGTGATTACTACAAGGTACATCGCAATCTTCTTGACATTGAATGTCATTTATCAAAAGTTTGGAAAATAACAAAATTACGAAATGTATTCGTGGCAGTCTTCCACTCATGCTTGTTTCCCGAACGTCAGCCTTCACTGCTTATAATGTGTAGTTGAGAGTAAAATGGTCGTTTTATATCTTCCACAAATAACCTGATAACAAGAGTTAAGTACATGGATAAAGAAGAAAGTGTAAGGATGACTTTGGACACTGAAGATTGAATGGCATCATTAATCTGCCGGCTTAGCTTTACACGACGTAGTAATTATTGTATGTTTACACGTACCGAAAGGAGTGTTAATAAGACCTGATCTTGAATCTAAGATTTAGAGAGAATGATGGCTTAACTTTGTTTGTCTTTTATGGGTATTTCCCCCGATTACGATTATAATTTACTTGTTTTTGTTAATAGCCTGTTCACTCTCTTAAACATTAAAGATTCCAGGTTATATATATACGATTGGACTATAGCTGAAGTAGAAAACGGCGAAGTTCCCAGTCTTGACTGTGAGCATGATCACTTATAAACAGTAAACACTGATGATCTATGCTCTAAACATTTGTATACGAGTATTTAATGAGGCCAAATAAATGTAGATCATAGTCCAATACAAAACAAACATAAAAAAAAGTGCCCCAGTACATGAAAAGAAGTTAAATTATATAAATCACGATATAAAACACTAGGTTTTGTATATGTGTATCTATATACCGATCAGAATATAGTTTTTTGACTGCTTCATGGATTTAACGGTTTAAGTTGTGTTTATATTTCTATGCGTTTATCTGTTAACATATCACATAACAATGTCAATACCTTAAAAATTCAAGATTAAACAAATATATTCCATTCAACAAAACTGCTCGAACAAAGTTAAGAATACTATTGTCCGAGCACGTAGACAAACTACCAATCCGTATACCAGTTAGTACATGTATTATTAACCTTGTCAAGACCACAGCCAATCCGCGTCGAACTGTGTCTTATCTTTGTCGGTATTTAGTTCCGATAGCGAACCTGTGAGAGTAAGTTCATTTTTGATCTCTTCCTCCCACCCTGTTAATACTCTAGTACCCAGTTATGTTCTTGAGATGTATTCTTAAAGCAACAGAACCGTTATCTTTACTCTGCTGGAAAACGTCGCGTGCCTCGCCCCAAACAAACTACAATCTATGTGTATATATTAGATGTAGCTACCTACTGTCTCAGTAACGTCGGTATTTAGATAGTACAATATCATCCCTCCATGACAATGATTTCAGCTACTTAAACTTGCATCATTTTCCTTGTAGCTATGTCCTTAAATAGGGTTCCAACTGTTGATAGATAAGTTTCCAACTGTTGAACTGCTGATTGCGACTTCTTTTAGCTCGGTTGAATTTAAAGTCTAATACTCGTGAACAGTTCCATAACAGTCAGTTAGTACATATATTATGAACACGTGCCAAGACAAACCATCAATCCTTGTGTCAGTTAGTATACAAGTATAGTAGGAACACGTGCCAATCACTTAGTTTGTTTTGGTACGTCTTCGTAACATTTGTACTACCAATTGGCGTGTCGGTACATGTAATTACAAGCACGTATCAAGACGAACAACGAATCTGTGTGTCATGAACATGTGTCCATCTGCTTTTTTAAACAAGGTGCGTTGATGATCAGATATAGTGAACATTTAGACAAGAATCGGTTTTCTGTTCCGAATCAAGATCCCCCCCCCATCTGTTTTTTTTTCCTTTGGTGATGAAATACTTCATCATCCAACCGTTCTTCAGACAAGTGCCGTACGATGGTAGTCACTCCCATTTAAAACCATTTCTGTGCCCATTGTCGGCACAAGGCATTTAGTCTGGCGATAGCGATTATGTCCTCTCATATATATAGTTAGTTAGTTCGGACTTATTGTCAAATTTCACTAGAGAAAATAATCCCCTACAGCTAATGTTCGGTTGTTTGATGATCTTTTAATCCTCATGGGGAAAAATTTATGGCTTACCGAATAAACTGAAGTGATTTGGTAATAGCCGGTCACAGTTGTTCACCATGACAAATTCAGGGTCTGTCTCGAGACGAGTTAAACGCCAGACAAGCTCTCTTTCCTCAAGTTTCTTTATAATTGACGACTAATGTATTATTAAAAACCGACATAACTATTATTCGTCTCCTGTGCCGAATTGTAACCATATTTTGTTTTTCAAGATGTTGCTGGTAATTTATGCCCCTTTTTCATAGAACAATATCAAAACTCCAGTTAATTTTCTAAAATCGGTTTCATAATTTAAGCTTATCAGTGAAAGAAAGCTGCAAGAGTGCTATCGTGTTGATAAATGAAACTTAAAACAAGCTATTAAGTAACGTAAATAAAAATAAAATCAGGAGCTTCGTCGTAAAAAGCAAAAGTTTATTTATTCCATTTTTTTTGTTGTTTCCTTCACCGATTACATACCACTAATACAAGCAAAAAGAATATATGAACACCTCCATCAGCGAAAAACATTTCACAGCTTGAAACTGGATACTTCAGTGGAAAACGAAACAAACAACTTCAATCACATTGGAAAAAAAATGTGGGAGAAAAGAGGTCAACAACAAACAAACCGACGCAAATTATTAAATTCTTAAAATTAATTGTCAACTGATTATTTCTCTGCTATTCTACGAAAAGTTCTAATTAAGTATTTTATTTTAATTATAATTGCTTTATTATTGAGCCATGCACGGATGACTAAATTAATCTTTTTGTTCATCCTTTTAAATTATGCTTAATTTACGTAATATTGATTACATTTAATTCGCCACCTTGCGAATATTTCATTTCACATTTAATTAACCTCTTATATAAGAAAAAACAAATTCACTTTATTTTCTTAATATTTTATGATACTTACAAAAATTATCGAACAGAAGATTGATCAGAATGTTTTAAATGACACGATAAACATCACTAACTATTTAAATATTTTTTTAAAGAATTAAAAATTGAGCTTTGGTGGGAGTTAACCCGTGATATTGCTAACCAGGTGGGTGCTTCAGTCACCAAAGCGACACGATAGAGAAACAGATTGAATTTTACAAGCAGAATGAAATAGCTCGCAACTTCTGCCGAATTTCGCCCTCAGTAACAATATGAAGTGAAAAACAAGTTGTACTATTCAAGATGGCGTAGGATAGACAGATAAAGTCTGATTAGCTGATATACCACTTCGGATCCACCAAATCTTTTTTCTTCCAAAAACGAGAAAATTATATAGTTTTGCCACCCTCACAAAGTTAGTTATATCATTTAGGTTTAACTTGTTTAAAATTAGCTTTTAATAGCGTTTACATACGCATAAAAAATCCACAAATTTCATACACAAGCCACGATGATTCCACGTATACATGTTAACAAAAACCTTATTCATTTTTTTTTACTAATACTACTTGAAATGTAATATGCTTATGTTTTAACTTAATTATTTCTATTGTTAGATTTTCCTGCAAAATATCATTTTTTTCCTACCAAATCCTCAGTGATTATCCACACTTTGTTACTGGCATCAAAGTAAGCTTAAGCGAAACAAAGAAAAATACACACTACTTTCCTGTTCAGAAATATAAATAATAAAGATTCTTATTTCAACAGTTTTTTGTTTTTACCAAGGATAATAGGTAGACAAGCTTACAGCTTCTATTATTTCTCAAGTTAAACCGCAATAAAACACACCATGGAAAACACAACAAATCCAATATCAGAAACAGACTAGCCAAATTAAACACTACAAAAATATGTTACGTTAAATCACACCCGTTCAAACAAGTAACTGTCCGCCACACAATGGAACAATTTAATCTTGAAATTATCGATGTACAGAAATGCAGATTATTGCAAATTATTTTAAGATAAAATTCACTGATATAAGAAAAATGAAGTGAAAAAGCGACAAATAACAGTTTTTGTCGCATTAATGAAAGTGTAATTTTCGTTTATAAAGTTAAGATGCTCATGTTCAGTAGATACGAAAGATGTGGACTGATGTTTGTAATCAAATTGTTTGTTTATGCATGTTTAACTTGCAAATGTTTGGGAGTAGAATGGAGAAAGGGTGGGATTTTACATCTGGTACCAGAATTGAGAAAGGTGGGGTATTACATTTATGTACTGCAAAAGAGACAGTACAATTGTAGTGATCAAGAAAGTTATATTGATATTGTGTATTAGTTTCTCTTTCAATAATATAAAACTTTAAAAAAAATTAGTTGATGCAGCTAAAACTACTTTGTTTTAATCCCCACCTTGATATGGCGGCTGTTTGGTTTTAAGTTTCAAAAAACGTTCCTCTCTAAATATTTAAACTTGTGTATTTTTAAAATCTTGCACGTCATACAATTTTGTGTTTATTTATTTGGAGTGCATAGAAAACTTCAGTGTTTGCAGTTATTTCTTACTCGTAAAGGCTACAAACAAAAGTTATTTACAAGAACGTGCACTGTATTTACGTTTCTTAAATTTGATTTTTTTTTGTTTTTATACATAAAAAATATTACATACAATTTACATGGTTTTTATGTTTTACATGAAACTAATATATATACCCCCCTCTACACGATTGTAGAGTTACTCCTTATTACCGTGACTATTGCGGAGTGTTACGTCTGGAACAAGATACCGACTTCTACAAATTAACAACGGTATTTGTGGCTACACAACGTTAATTGAAAGAAAAACTGAGATTTATTTTGATCGTAGAGCTGATTTACTTTGGTATTCTTTTATCTTGCCTTTAAGGAATCTCAACCAATTCGCCACAGTATGCAAGATATATGGATAAAATCTAAAATCAAAGAAGCTGTATGAAAAAAAACAAAAAAAACTGAGTACGCGCGTTTTTAGCACGCTTGAGAAGAACACAAAACAAAGATAACCGAAAAAAAGTTGCAGGGTATTGGAATTCAGCGTTATTTCTCTACGAGATTTCCCAATATCAAATGGGATAAAATTCAAAAACATTGCCAATGAAAGAAAATCAAAGCTGTGGTTCGTAACTTTACTGAACACAACCTAAGAATCTGATAAAAGAGTTAAAGTTCACGTCGCTGCCAATGTTTTGCTGATAGCAGTACGAATTTTTGGTAGAATCATAACATTTCAAAAATGTTAATCCTTATGAAGACTGTTTAATTACTTTAACGTTGATACAATCTAAGTATTGTAGTTACAAAAAAATAACATCTCTTCTGCTGTAACATTTAAAACGTGCATTAATACGTATTAAGTACGCATATTTTAAATTTCTTCAAAAGTTAATTCAAATTCATTAACTTATTTTCTAGTAATTTCAATAAAGCAAACACAGTGGAAGACTATTTTAGAGCACGTGATGATAATATTAGCCAAAGATTGCTTTTAATTTATTAAATATTTATAATTATACGTAAACTTACATTTTAAGTTGCAAGTGCAGTTCTACTACAGATTCAAGAATAAAGTAAATGACACCTTAAAAAAAATTAATTAACGATCTCAGCTTACAAGTAGAGAGGAAAATGAAAGATAGCGAATGAACTTTTAAACCTAGATATTGAACTGACTTAGTTCTGTTAGTTTTGTAGAAACATTATAGCGTCGCGACATTATTTTAAATTCTGAAATATATAGATAACACTATGGTTTCTCTTTGTCGCGGTAATTGTAAGAAGACAGTACAATCTGCCATCTAGTGACGCTTTGTAGTACTAAAATAACTTTCTAAACAGGAATAAAAGAAATATTATACCTTTATACACACTGAAGATAAGAATGAAAGTATGAACAACAACAACAAAAAAAAAAAAAGATTATTCTAAGACACTTATAATAAAATATATTCACTACAAAAATAAAATGCAAAAATGAAAAGTTGAGTAGTACTTAATTACAAATAATAAAAACTAAATAATAATAACAACAATATGCGAATGATTGCTAGCGGCCTAAACATGACTGATTAGCAACTGGTTTTACATTAGGATAAGTCCACTGATAAACAACGTCCTCACTTCTGCTTGGATACACCTGCAAATACAAAAAGTTTCAGTAATCTGTTTGCAAATGATCTGCTGCAAAATAATTAAAATATTATTCCACAAAAAACATTGGTTAATAAGGAGTTTAAAAGCCCTACTTCCGAGTAACAGCAACCATTAGTTTATGTTCTCTTCAAATATGTTAAAGCAAAACATGCCACTGGTACTGCAAACAAGATTGATTTATATAGTAAAGATACAAGCCAACATAACACAGCTATAATAAACTTTATCACAATTTAGGTTATATAAGCACATATTATGCAGTGCGATACCTTTACTGGAAAAATACTACAAAATAGATATGTAATTATTCAAAATCTTACTTGGGTTTCGTTACTTTTATTTTTGGTTTCACTTTTTTCTTTTCTTTACAAGTTTATAGTTGCTCCCATTCGTTTAAGGGCCAGAAAAGCATTAACAGCTTTCTGTTGGAAGAAATAAATTAGATCAGTGACAATATAAGAAATGATTGGCATCAATTTTACAAAAACAGATATTACGAACTTCTTGTGTAATGATATACAACAAAATTAGAAATAAAAAGGTATCCAAATTAAAAATAGTTATACGGGATTTCATATGAGGTGACATCGGGTTTAAAGCTATAAATGAATCTTTTAAAATCTTCTGGTTCAGAAATTAGCACACAGGATCATCTACAAATGTTGTAATGTTTTCAAACGAGACCCAAAACTCGAGCACTTTCGAATAGTTCACTATTCTTCATCAGGAGAATAAAGGGTTATGTTTAATGAGTGTAATGCAATAAATATAGGCACTGATGTCGACGTCATGTAAATCTTGTTAACTACAGTAAACCGTGGCGTGGTACCAAATTTTTCCCCATAGTGGAAGGGGGGGGGGGGTCCATACAAAGTAACGCTTCCTGCCGTCAAAGAAAATTTTTTAAAGAAATTTTAAATTTTAACTAAAACTGAGTCGATCGTACACGAATTGATGCGTTTTGGTGGCAACTTTCAACAAAAGAAAATCCGCTATAACAGCTTCTCGACCTTGCTTTGAAAAGCGCAAATAAACTCCCAAATTGTTGTTTTGGTGTTGATGAAAAGTCTTCCCCCCCCCAAAAAAAAAAGCTGCTTTAGGTCGGGGCACATGCTATTTTGACTTGGATTTGTACTATAAAAATGGGTTTAAACATGTTCATGACGTCTGAGGTCTTGTGCACACTTTCCAGAAACGATAAATGTTACTTTACACTCGTTTCGTGAGATTAACGCTATATTAAGAAACTCTAGGACGTTACTGCACAAATACATACATACATTATTTCTACACGTTTTCGGCTCTTTTACTGGAGCCTTCAACGGGCAAGGCATGTTACAAGTAGAGTATCTTATTAGCATTTGTTCGTATAAACGTCACACTTTTCAACCTTGTAGACTAGGATTAACGTGTCTTTTTGATATTCTTTCAGTGTATATTGACTGGTCTACTACTCTGAAAACATATATACGCAAGTTACTTTACAAAAGGCAGTGAAGTTAACAAAAGCTTCACAAAAATAGAGAAAAACATTTTAAAATTAAGATTTATTTACAAGAGGGTTCTGAACGAATGAACACAAGCATTGTATTGTTTCAAAGTTATAATCAAATTCTCGTTGAAAGGCAATCTTAGTGCTTTTTTTTTTTAAAATAGAGTAATAATGCACGATAGACTCCTATTTTTAGAGTTAAAGAAATATGCAAGCTTTCAGCTGAAATATTTGGGGAAATTATTTCTAATTTATTTCATCATAGGTTAGATTTAAATGTTTCTTAAATGAGAGAATTGCAGCTTTAAAACTTCATTAAAACGAAGAATATTTAACCCGAGAGAGAGAGAAACTCACACGATCCACAAACTGTTCGTGTTTAATGTTTCGAATATATTCGTCATCAGGAATGTATTTATTAAAGTTAATTGAAAATTAATATTAAATAGTCTTAATTTAATAGATGTATGAAGAACGTCAAAGTGATATTATGATTACTTTGTGAATAAACAGTAACTGCATGCAATCTTCTATTAATTTATTTTAACGTTAAATTATGGAAATAGGGATAAGCAGATTGTCTTAAGACTGTGTATCATTCTAATTTACTGGATGAGTTATCATCTTCCCCATTCACTATGTTAACTATAATAAAACATACGGTATATACTAAATGTACATGTAGATCTTATACATATAAAAGATGTCCCAGTGTTTTTAAAATAACATGGTATTAGTGGCATAGATTGAACATGTATGATTAATTGTTCCTGCTAGTACCGCTGTCAACTTCGTAGTAATCACAGAGGCATTTTTAGGCAGAGTTATGGGTGTGACCATATGTGGTTGATATTCTATGATATAATTAATTTTAACGTCTGATCAAATCAAGCTGTCTACGTACATAAGCATTATACGTCAACCTTGTGAAGAGTATAGGTAATTAGATAGTGTTTTTACTTAAAGGTTTGAGTTCCTTGTTTCATCCTTGCGGTTAGTGATATTTTCAGCTGGTATGGAACAGAATTACAGCTATAGTCTTAGAAATCAGGAGCAGGATAAATGAAAATCAATAAAAACATGATTTTCGCAAATTCTCAGCTTTCTCGAATTTAACGTTTTAATCAATGTCTTTATGAAAACGAAAAAATAAAAATAAAATAATAATAATAAAATACTAAAATAAAACCAGAAAGACAGACAGCCTTTATGAAAATGTAGGTATTTTCACCGATTTTTATAGATTTTTTTAAAATCAATTTTATCTTTTTTGGTTTTTGCAACCCCCACCCCACTCTTTTTCACTTGGGCTACCACGCAACAGGTAATAAAACATACATGGGCGATATTTTTACAAATCAATAAAAACTTATTGGTGCCCGTTTTTAAGTTACAATAACGGTTTAGGATAAGCCAACTCTTACACACTCCCTTTTGTATGAGATATAAAAAAAAAACTTTATACTTTTTGATGTTTATATGAAATGCCACAATGTTCGAATATGGTTCAATATTACTGCATTTCCTAAACATAACAAGGGTAGTTATTCCAAACTAAGTAATCTAACACCTATTGTACTACATATTTAAGGTACATTATAAAAACCGGTAAAAAATTAATTATAAATTAATAACATTGAACAAGCTCTAATTCATGTAATATTATGATTTACGAGATGAGGATTTGGAGATAATTGGCAAGAAAGACGAGTGATATTACTCCAAACATGAACCCTTAAATAATTTCTTACCGAGAAAACCTACCGACCCAAAAACAGTTTCACCAGGATATTTTTGTTTGTTTTAAAAAGCAAGATACTCTAACAAGTTAACAAAGAACTCAGTTACTTGGATTGTTTTTTTTTTTTTATAGTGTAAAGCTCTGACAATAAAACTTTAAAAAGGTACCACTAGCAACTAATTCTGGTTCATATTATTTCTGTTAAGGTACGATTACTGTGTGTGGAATGTAAATTAAACTTCACCATACGGAAAACATCTGTTTTAAGTTTATATTAAAGAATGAAATATCCATAAAACTAGAATTAGAGTTAATCGTCTAGTATAAGAGATATAACCTTATTGTATATATATGGCTTTCACACATAAATAATGATTATACAATGTAGACTAACTGTCATATATGTGACGGACCGAAATTCTATATTTAAGCTTGTACTTACCTGCCACCTACGGCGAATTACGAACCTCTTAAGCCTCGTTTTATCTAGCTGGGTATCCTTCCTCATCTTGTCTTTCTATAAAGTCATATTTAAAGAAAAGTATTGTGAGTATTTTAACTAGGAATATAAACAATACAATGAAGTTTAAAATGAACTATTTAGGTAAAAGAGAACACACCAAAAATATCAAGTTCTAAAGATAAAACATCTAGAAAAAATGATAAAAGCAACCTTTGAAGTAAGTAACCGCCCAGTTTGAATACCAGGAGAGGCTGATGTTCTTCGATTAACTTACATTATGAGGCAAAAAGGAATTGAAAGTCTACCTAGAGAAGAAGCGAAGGTTCACTAACATATTTCTACACTAAAACTGTTAAATATAGCAAATGTTAAAGATGCAGCCTATAAGTAAGGCAGACGTTTTTTTTTTCCTAGAGTTCTACACAAAGAACAATAAATAGAACATAAAGATGAAAGCTACGAGTAAGATATTTTCCTACTGAGATTTCTATACTAAGATTAATAAGACCAGTTCGCACGAGGTAGCGTTGTTCACTGGCTCAAGTGATTTCCAAGTTTCTGTTTTATCTAGGCATCTTGGATTTCCCGCCACAAACATACACAAATCAACAAACATTTAAATCACATGGACTTAAATAGGTGAAAAGATTTTAACATCTGCCATTACGTAATTGTGAAACCATAGAGGTACGGCTATTATTCAGAATCGCATCGTATGTCAAATTTATTCCGAATAATATTCGCCATTTAATGTGTTATTGTAGAGGAGGCCTTGTTTACCTAAACAATTGGTCGAATTTATGAATCTGGCCAAGGGCCCTTGTTAGAATATAAAAATGGTTAAAGAAATTATGTTTCTATAGAAAAAAACAATTAAAAGCTTGGTATTATTTGCACAATACACGAACCATCTCAAAATCACCCAAGAAAGGCTGTATACTGATGACGTAAAACCTTCCTGGTAGCTTGAGCTTTTAACACGTTGCATGGAATATAGTAGTTTTCTAATTTCAATTTTTGGACGAGACGAAGTAGTTGGCGAAGCAGTTCATAAACCATTTAGTGGACTACAACTCACAGGCGACAAGCTACCTCGTGGATAACGACTTTAAAGAAAAATACTGCAGAGTAAGGATATCTGATTTAGGTTTTTTACTCTTAGATATTAGAAAGAGCAGAGCAGAAAGATGCAGTCTACAGAGTAGGTGTTCCATGATCTAGGTTTCTAAACTTGTATATTAGATAGAGCAGACCTGAAAGATCCAATCTACAGAGTAGGTGTGCTGTGATCTAGGTTTCTACACTAAGACTATTACGAAGAGGAGACCTGAAAGATGCAGTCTAGAGAGTAGGTGTGTTGTGATCTAGGTTTATACACTAAGACTATTAAGAAGAGCAGACCTGAAAGAAGCAGTCTACAAAGCGACAGAAGACAGACCTTGAAAGCACTCTCTTTCGTTGAAAGTACAGGAGGAGATTCTAAACCTACCCTCAACCATGGATGATCCAGACAGTCTTGTGCTGACATTCTTTGGCTAGAAAACACAAAAATTAAGTAAAGCAAAATTGTCACACCTTTATTATAAATTACAACAATGCCAACAACTAGTACTAAATGAAGATAACGTAGGTTTTCAAAAGGCGATTTTAATTCTATTAAAAACGTTTTTAATTATTTTAAGAGTTGGTTTTAAATTAGTCGCTGTTGAATGCAATTGTACGGGCGGGTGCATATCTTATGAAAAGTAACTGTTGCAATTGTTATTTCATTTAAAGTACTTTTCTTCATTCGGATCTATTATAAATATTATTAGATTAGAGTCTAACTGAAGTTAGTATTAGAAATTCGCATTCATAAATAGGCGTAATATATACTTTCAGCGCTATAGGTAACGTGTGTAAAGTCATGTTAAATATAAACAAAGAAAAAGAAAAAAAGCCTGGGTTAATCAGTGGAGTCAAAGTAGTTGGTTAATCTGTTATACGTACTCTAAAATACACGAAGAAATTAAGATTGTGATTTTGGTTTCCTGGTGTTAAATAACGGTTTTCACTATCCTCTATATGAATGGATAACTACAAAGGGAAATTTGACTATTTTAAAAGTTAAAATAAAGTAATTATTCTTAACCTAAAAACTTTAAATTTTGAGCAATAATTCCTCTAAGTTATTACTATTTGATTTTTTACACAAACCCTCTTTCTCTCTGTGCGTGCATATATATATCTGCGCGTGTGTGTGTGTTGTATTCGCTCCGAAATGTGCCAGAGTTTCACACATTCAGAGCAAGCTTAAGTAAATATAATGATAGAGAAAAAAATATTTTCTTTTATATATTATCACTCAGTTCATTACTTATATTCTAATATTGTACAAATAGTTTAGAGTGAGATAATACATCTTACCTATAGCTAAATAGTAAGATCCAGCAAAATATTATCTATCTTTGCAATAAAGCTCCTTTGGGATCCAAATATGCAACTACGTGCATGGTGACTCATGAAAAGAAGTGAATCTAGGTAGATGAGTGTCACCTGTCAACACATTACTTTGGTCTTGAATTTTAATCTATCGTCATAGGAATTCAAGGGTTAAATCATTGAGAAATATTTGAGAAGGCACCAAATTAATAAATCTGCTCTCCCACCCTCCCAACACCTTACAGATAATCATCTGTATTTCAGTTCACAGATATTCACTCAGACAAATCTTTGTACAAATATGAGAACATTTTACTATCTGAAATTGCTTAAAAGTAGTTGCTGGTTCCTTTGTGTCTGTTAAGAAACTTCAAACAACGGATATACTTGTTCAAACTTTCAATTATAACAGTGAGTTCCTTGAAACTGCGGAGATATTGGAGGGTCCTCATATAGGTTACTCTCGTGACAAAAACATCTTTAGGAGGATAATTACTAATGTTAGCCTTCTTAACTCAACCAATTGTTCTCCTGACTTCCAGGTAATTAATACAGATGCTGAGAGCATTCCTATGAATTTTCATTCCTCTCTTGAAGCCCTCCATGAAGGTGGAAATATAATAAGCACTGATCCAGTTTCACAATACATACATACGGAATGTATGATACCCATAAAAATACTGCTCCATCTTTTTTTCTTCCTCACTTTTCCTTTGGTTTTTAACCAAATCTGGTAGGATAGAACATTTCCCGACTTATTATAGAGGATATTGTTCTCTTTCCCAAAGCTTATGAAGGATCAGATGCTTCTGTTTAATTGTAACCCAATTGGTTTGACTAGTTGTATTTGTCAAGTGCTATATAGAATAGTTAGTCATAGACTTTAGTTTTTTTTTTCGAATCAAATAAACTTCTCCAAACAAAATTACGGTTTTTAAAGATCAAAGATTCATCAAAACCAACTGATCAAAACGCTGGAATGGATTTGTTAAACATAACAGTAAGGTATATTTTTTTTTTACTTAAAAAAATACGATGTCTGTTGGGTGTATGGTATCTTAAGATGCCTTTCTCCATAGTTCTGTGGTTATTTACCCATTGCTGTCAGCAATTCTTAGCCATTAGGTCATTTAAGGTCCATGTTGGTTTGATACATTCACAATCCCTTCACTTAAGACCTGGACATTCCTCAAGACTGCGTATTGAATGCAAGTTTTTCTCGATCAATGTTAATGTTATTATGGAATAACTTCCTTATCCTGTGTCAACCCTACATATATTTTGAAGGCTTTCTTGTATATTATTAAGCATGAATATGGGGATTACCGAGAGGTAGCTTCAGACCTCCCTTAATCAAATATTTGAATGAAACATTTTTATAGAAGGCCAGTTGTTTTACATCTAAAGCCATTTATCTGCATTTTGCCACCAATAAGGTTTCCAACCTATCACAGAGCTTCACTAAGATAATTCTCATTTCTATAGTGGTAGAAAACTCTTGAAACCTCATTTGTAAACAGTAATTACTTCATTCTGTATAAAGCAGCAATAAATTAAACGTACAAAGGCATTCAATATTCTGTCGATGTCAACATCCCAAAGGACACACAGATTTTTTTTTCCTTTTTTTGTTGCTATTCTGGAGATTTATAGCCTTAAAACACACAAAGTTCGAAAACAAAATCTAGTCTTTGGTTTAACCATACTTCCTACTTTGAGAATATTCGACCCTACACATAATTTGGGTTTTACTTTGCACACGAGCTCTCCGAATTTCTCCAACACAAAGCTTGTACACCGACTCCTTTGAACTTTACTCCATATTTAACATAACCAACCATATTTGCAGTATGGTGCATAGCTATGATCCTTATTCAATCATTGTATTTATATGCTCCAGGAGACTATGCTCTTTTTTGCAAATATATGATCTGCTATTCTATATTTAACTATGTATTCAGGCAATATTGAGTGAGCTAGGTTTATCTTTCGAGACACTTGCGTCTGATGGAGAACTTATCCCACAATGGCTGGTTATTATTCTTATGTGAAATTTGTTCTTTAGTCATTATCAAGAACCTCATAGATCTTACTGTAAAATCTTTTTATATGAACACTATTGGAGCTATTTTAGATTATTCCTACTTTACAGATGGCTTCAAAATAAAACAAGTCAGCTGGTTCAGCTGAAGAATGTACTAATTTAGTACTAAGCTAGCCCTGAAGTAGCAGATACAAAAAAAGATCATTCTATAGACTAACTTCACAACGATTAACCTGTATCATAAAAATCTATCAGGGTTTATTAGATCCTGGTGATATTTGTAGTGGAGGAAATGATTTGTTAGACAGAGCAGCTAAAGTAGCATCCTCTGCTGCAATCAAGTTTTTTCACGCATCATACATGTAAAATTTCAAACATTATTACAGGGAAGGACTTCTTGGCAGAAGATTTGGGAAGAACTGCAAGCTAAAACGTTTTTCCACGTTAAAATTGTATATAAAAGACATTGTTTAGTTTGCACAGGGTTTGAAGGGAGGAACTTTATATAGCTATGTTTGGCACGGAATTTTAATTAATTTAATACATTTAATTCGCGATGATCAGCCAATGTACGAGACAGGTGACATTTGTTCAGCTGTCGTCCATCTTTAACCCTCTTTCCATTGTTCTGATATTCGACGATAGCAATGTCTTAGACATTTTTCTGGTCTGTATGTTGGTGAGGTCACTGATCGGATGGTTGTACTGTACGTCA